TACCTAAACACACAAACAATTAATTATACGTAGGAGACTTTGGGACTACAGATAAGTTTAAATGAGAAAAAAAACTACTTTTTCTGCTAGAGCGGCTTCTGTTATCCTAAATCGCGTATATACTAAGTGAACATTTTTAGATATAAATAATTAATATGCGATGATTTATATGAATTACTATGGGATAATGGCTGACATTGTCTCCCAAAGAGAAGAATACCCCGCCTTGTCGCCAGCATTTCCAGTATAGGGTGCTGTCGAATGGCACTTTCAATAGCCCGATATCTTTCTTGCAGCTGACAAGCTTCAGAAATGGTCACCCGCCTCGTTACTAATTATCAACCACAGCTCTGGACAGAACGCTAGCCTGACGCAGAGTTCTTTCGATCAATTACTTAGGCTCCCCATACACACTCACGGACCACGTTCTAGCTTTTCGGAAATCCGAAACACAAAGATATAAGTAACTTGTCCACGGTTATTACGTGATCTGCCGGCGCCAAGATTCGAACACAGTACGTGACGAACAACTAACCACTAAGCCATGCCGTCTCGCAAAGAGATTAATGAACGAAATAACGAAAGGTCGAACAACACGCGCTCAATTTGTTTAACGCTCCTTAGAGGGGCAAAGAGTGCTCGTATGCCACGCTCTATGAATATATGATTGATGCAGATCAGACACCTGCTTCGGAATATGAAGGCTTTGAAGTTCGATACCTTAGTCCGCTTCACCAACACATCTATCAAACTGTCTTTGATCTTTCAGAATCAAGATTGCTTACAGGCTGTATCCAATAAGTCCTCTCTCTTTGAGTCATACCCGCAGTTTATTAAATCACACGCATCCACTTCATCAACCATGGCGTGAGGAAACACTCAGTCAATCAACTAAGAAGCTTTTAGAAAGATGATTGATACCTACCAAGAGACTAGTTTGACGAAATTATCATTTAATGATATACCAGCTTTGGCATCAAATATTGAACTATGTGTATCGCCAATGAAGTCTGTTGATACAACTTCTTCATCTGTATAACCTAAAATATTTTTAAGTGAACCATTGGCTGCTTCTTTGATTGTAGCACATATTTCCTCATATTTAGCCTAAAAAAGGAGAAAAAAACATATCTAGTCTAACATTCGAAACCAGAATTATCTCGCGATGCTGTTATGTGTTCTTTAATACATACGGGTTTCTGTAATCGACATGTCAAATCAACAACAGAAACGTTGGGTGTAGGTACTCGAAATGCCATACCAGTTAATTTTCCATTCAAATCTGGAATAACCTAAACAACAAAAGAGTTACATAGAAATCTCATTATCCATACACGAAAACTATTCATAAATCACTCAGTAGTGCTGTGGAGATAGTGTACTGAAAATTTGGCTGAAACAAACACAGACAGCAGCGATTCATCAACAAACTTTTGCACAGGGAATAATCGTTATAATCTAGTACTTTTTCAAGACAATCTAACTTACTTTTCCAACAGCTTTAGCAGCGCCGGTGGATGATGGAATAATGTTCTGTGCGGCACCACGACCACCACGCCAATCCTGTCAAGCAAAAAAATTCAATATCATATAGAATTCGAAAACTTAGCGTATTCTATCTTTACCTTATTTGACGGTCCATCAACAGTTTTCTGTGTCGCTGTATACGAATGAACTGTAGTCATTAATGCTTCTATAATCCCATATTTTTCATGAATGACTTTGGCTAATGGTGCCAAGCAATTTGTTGTGCATGATGCATTACTAACAACTGTTTCTTTTCCGGTATATTTCTCTTCATTGACTCCCATAACGAACATCGGTGCATCAGCCGATGGTGCAGTAATGATAACTTTTTTGGCACCAGCTTGTAAATGTGGTTGACATTTTTCAGTTGTTGTAAATACTCCAGTCGATTCAACAACGTATTCAGCTCCTAATTGCCCCCATGGGATTTTCGTTGGCTCTTTTCTAAATAAAACCAAAATCAATCATTGTAGTTATTGACTTTAACAAGAACAAAATATCAACAGTAGTTTAATCCGTTGCTGCTATTTATCACATTCTTTCAAGGAAAATTCTCATTTCTCTCATACATCGCCTAAATAAAACACAAAAAATGCTTACTCTGTAAATACACTGATTTGTTGTCCATTAACAACTAATTTGTCTCCCTGATGTGAAACTTCTCCTTTGAATCTTCCATGAGTTGAATCATATTTGAACATATAAGCCATATATTCAACTGGGATAAATGGATCATTCACGGCGACAACATTAATGCCTTTTTCTAAGCAACAACTAAAAAAAAATCAAATAATATTTAATGCACTTTTATGGAAGAATTGCGAATCTAGAGCTGAGTTTCTCTTAATCTGTTATTTCTGCTACTTATTCGTGAAACAAAAGAAAAAAACTATTATTTAAGCCCCTTATTGCTAAGTGACACAACTTTCGTTCGAAGACTCACCGAAACACAAGTCTGCCAATTCTTCCGAAACCATTAATACCAACTTTTGGACCGTCTTTTGACATAATTGAAGTAATGAAATAGAAATGGCTTTAAAACTGATTGTATCTAAAAAGATAACGAAGTGGAAAAGTATAACTAATATTTCATTACCAGGTAACTAGTACATCCTATTTCTCAGCAAAGAAATAGCATGTCATGCTAAGACAATGAAAAGTATTAATCAAAAGTGAAAGAAAACTATCATCATCGAAATATACCAAAGTCTGATCTAGAAACTTTCAGGAAATTACTTATTAGTATAATAACCTAAAAGTTGGCTTCCAAGAAGTGATGCATATCACCGAATCGAAAAATTTTAAAAGCTTGGTCGATCAAAACCGATTGCAGACTCGTCTTCTCCACAGTCGATTATCTGGTGTAGGATTACTTTTGGATCGGAATATTTTGGAACACTTTTTCGTTGTCATTTTGCCTTTGGTCCTCCCATACAGTAACATTTTTAGTTAGACTATAATAGAATTCTTTCTAAAATACTTCGATTCAAAATTAACCGCACATCAGATAACCGATTTACTAAGGAAAAATAAATTTATAATCGTTTTTTATCGAACAAGCTTTTAAAATTTTTCGATTCGGTGGTATGCAACATATATTGGATGGGTAAGGTTAAACAGCGCTCATCATCGGAAAGGTGATTCTTTTTCATTATGGAGGAGCATATCTTCGACCACCTTTTGGAAAGAAATAAAGAAATGTAATAATACTTTCAAGGCTATCAAAACAGGCTATAGTCAACCATTTTGTTTCTACTGCTTTGAGGAAGGTGGAAATAAGAAGAGAAAGAAATTGTACCAGACCGTCGAAAACAGGAAATTTTCTAACGACTCATAGTAATTTTCTTGAATAGAAATAAATCAAAAATAATTTCTTGTAAATAGTATCAATTACACGACTTGAAATTGTCTTGTTCCTATCTTGCCTAATCAGTGGCGCCATAACAGTCTCTTACTGTCGATTTTAGTTGAAGAATAAAACTTTATACCGGAATTTTTCATATTTGTCTGACAGATTCATATGATGTACTTTTCTTCGATGCTTGCAGTTCTTATTAAAGAAACCGGTCTGTATTTTGATTCGCTCTCTTTTGAGTCAATTAATGCATCAAAAGTCGACGGATGAGTCATATCTTGAATTATCAACATGTAAAACTGTTTTCAGCAGCGTTAAGTAGTTTACTTTTGGAGCTTTTCAGCCGTTGTTAGGGCCGTGAGACGCATGTGGTTGTGATTCTGCCAGCAATTTCAGCTTTTGTCAGCTAAGTTAGTTTGTAACCGCATTTTAATGGTACCGATTAAAAGGAGCATAGAAAATTTTGTCAATTTTCCCTAAGATGCACGTTAAATCCGTTCACTTTGTCTTAGAAGTAAAATAGTGAACGTACTCGTTTGTTTCTGCTGTTAATATTTAATTTGAGATTTTTTTTGTTCAAAAACGCTTTTCTGTTGTTGTTAACAATATGATCTACCCAATGTTATTGCTCTATTTCTTTTGATAACATCGTCACGAATACGTTGGTAAAAAAAAATTGAAAGTTGACTGTGTTCATTGACAAAAATGAATGCTATATCGCACCCTACATAGATTATCTGGTAGATCGATACCTCATCAGAAGTTTTGTAATTATTACATTGGCATAGTTTCTGATCTTGTTCCGTTTATAACGATATTTTCGAACATCGTGATCTAAAGTTTTACAAAAAAACGTAAGATTAAGTAAACATCTATTGCAAACAAGGTTTCTGATAAGAGAGTGCATCCGTTGAAACAGAATGTGCAGTAAATGAAATGAAATGTACACGCTGTTTTACAAGATGTGAGAAAAAACAGTGGACAGTATAGACTTTGAGTTTTAATTTACAGTTTGTTTTTTTGCAGGTTTTTGTCAGTTTATGTGGAGGATATATCGTTTCAAAACGAGTCATTGCATTATTTGTAGTCATTGTAATGCATTTTGTTTTGAAAACCGGGTGTATGCGTATACTGTCGGTTCCAAAACTGAGTGTGCCAGTACATTCTGACTCTGATTTCCATTAGAAACACTGGTTGCAAAAGTTATTTATCAAATCAAAACTGATGTACTGGCGCAAAAAAACCCTTTGTTCGAGAAAAGACTAGTCGTTTCTGATAGACAAATAAGTAGGAAAATTCGTTTTTAAAATATAGAAAAGGTTCATCATCTGCGAAGATACTCATCGATATCATTATTTTGAAAATTTACGTTTATGATTCTGCCATGATGATGTCTATTACATATAAAGCAAAACATTTTATGTTTATTTAATGTTTCATGAATTTTATCTCGACTATGTTTGAGTACTCTTCTAGCACTTTCTGTGTGGTTGTCTCTCTTCAGGCATAACTGAGAGATGAGAATTATAATGTGTAAACATTTTTCAGCAATAGCTTCTAGAATACATTTATTGATGCATAAAAAATCCTATTTATCTTTTTACGTCCTCTTTTTTAGATGTTACGAAGTATCCATTGTAATTTATTAGAAACTCCTTTCTCATTTCATAAGTCTTATTATTTAATTATACGGACACTGACAACTCGTCAACGTCGGACTTCTGCTATAAAATTAAAATCTTCGACAGATCAGAATCAAACTACACAATCTCATATTATCACTCGTCCAACGCGATTAGATTTAGATGATTTGTCACCATTTGCACGTTCTGTACTACAAAATAATCCATCATATGGCACACGCTTTGGTGGTAAATTATCATTGAATAAAAAATATTTGATTCAAACGCACGCTGAGTCAACTGGAAGAGCTGAAGAATTATTGAAAACATCTTTAGACGAACTAAATTCAACAAGAAATCAGGAAGAAAAATATTTGGAAAAAAAATTTCAAGACGAAGAAGATGAGCGATTACCACAACCACCTGTTGTAGGTGAGAATAGAGAACTTAACACGTTCACAAGAAAACCTAAAACATATGATACATATGTCAAGTCTTCTCTCACATGCTCCTATAGCCAGTTTTTGTGTACGTTTCACGTCTACAACAAAAAATCATATTTAGTCTAATCTTGCAAATGTATCACACGTGATGCATAGACAGTGAATGCGTTAATACTGTTAGAAATAAATCTACTACATTCTTGAACCACCGTTCTGAATAGACTTGATGGTTAGTATATTGAACTTTTGTTTTAGAATTACCCTCATCATTGAACGGTTATCGAATGAATTATGGTAATGAAAATTTTTCACTTCCTATAAGTTCAATTCCGTGTTATGGATGTGGTGCTTTACTTCAATGTCGTCAACGTTCATTACCGGGTTTTATACCGTATGAATTATTTAATAAAATGTCAAATAAACTAAAATCACAAACGTTATGTCAACGATGTTTTCTATTGAAGTATCATCAAGATATTTTAGAATGTGAAGTTGATGAAAGTGTATACAAACAAATTATTCATGAAATTAAGAAGAAAAAGGCGCTTGTTATTCTACTCGTCGATCTTTTAGATATACCAAATTCTATTAGTGAAAAATGGCAAGAATTAATTGACTCAAATGTGTTATTATTTATTATTGGAAACAAAGTGGATCTATTACCAAGAGGCAGGTAGGAGTTTTGTATCCACTTTTTAAGCGAGGTTGACATTTTACAATCGTTTACTTTATCAATTCGTGAGCAAGAGAAGTGACGCTAATAACGTTAGATATTTTATCTTCCAGTTAAGCTCTTTTAGAATACTAGTGTCAGTATACAGGAAAATTCTTGTCTTTAGTCTACTCTCTGATATAAACTTTCATTCCTTTGTTTACTCACAATATAATTTCCAATATAAGACTTTGCCATACTTCATTATTTTTCCATTAGACAATTTGAGTTGTCGTGCAAATTAATCAAGTCTGATAATGAAAAAATAATGAAATGATGATTCTTTGTAACTTTCGTTTTAAGGAGCTGCTGCAGAAGAAAATCGACTTTTTTTTTATCAAAACTCGATTTCTTGTTGGATGTGTAGACTGAGGATCGTTTCGTCAATATTCATAAGTTCATAAACTTAACGACAGAGTTTAGTTTTTTCTAGTACAACGTTTTACAGCCTTGATTTACAACAGCACTGAAGATGTCTGAACTCAATGTCTAACTTAGAGAACACGTCTCATGGAATGAAGACAAACTTAAACCAAAACGAAGATGTCAGTTCTCACTTACGATTTTTGCTGAAACATCGATTATCTCTTAACTATGACTTGAGTGTGCAATTAAGTTTAGATGCTACTAGAGAATATTGATGAAACGATAATCTGAACTGTCTACTTTCAGAATCTATATCAATTTCGACCATACAACTGCTCGAATAGTTTTTCAGCAGCGTTAAAACACAGCACTCGCAAAAAGAATGATGTTATAAATCGAATAGATGAACTCTGAAACATCTAGATTTGTACAACAAAGTCTTTTTGTTAAAATTCCAGTTGGTAGTTGGTAGAAAAACGCTATAAGGGAGTCCAAAAATGCACCAATAAAGGAACATACAGATGTGAGCCGATCTCGTGCTTGATGTATTCGAATAATATTTCCACTTCAGATATTGTAAATCGGCAATGACAACTTAAATCCTATTTAAATTTTCTACTTTGGACGGTGGTAGCATGAAGTTTTGAAACAGTTGATTGGCATCGACATCATGGCTACCATGTCTAAATACACAATGTACCTTCTCCTTAGTGAGGTTGGTAAAAAAAAGCAACAGAGAGGAGATTCAAAAATCTCCACCATCCGTTATTTTAGATTCAGATATTTAGCTTGGTATAAACTAAAATCGATCTTTATAACTATTACTAAATAAAAATATCGAGCTGATATTTCTACCATAATATATTTTACATAAAAATATTTGATTTGTGACAGCTTTGTTCGAAATGAAAATGACTATAAAAGTGACTATTCCAATTCTTTAACTACAAAATTACAAATTTTTTATAAATTATCTATCGACATCAGTCACGATATGGCTACCATAATAGTGTCTACTCTTAAATTGACTGACTATGATTTTGAATGCCGAAAACGGCAGTTCTTTAGTTGTCTTCAATCAAAGTTATTCAAAACATGATGATCAGTTAATTTTTGAACAGACAATAGTTTTCTAGAGTTAAGAGTAAAGTTGATAAATCTAAAAATCGACAACATTTTTTACGGTTTGTTCAATTATATAAGGATCAAATTTGCAATGTTCTGTATTGTTCATTTGTAGTTGGATTCTAATCATTCGTTTCATTAATAACTGGTTCTCTGTTTCCGTTTAGATAGTGAAAATTATTTGACAGATATTGAACGTTGTCTTGAACATGAATGTTCTAAACGTGGCTTTGGAAAACATTATATCAAATATTATGGAGTTATTAGTGCAAAAACGGGCTACGGTGTAGAAGAGTTAATATCAAAAATATTTCGTTATTGGTCACATCATGGTAAAGATTATAGTAATACTACAACTGTTTCTTGAACAACCATATTATTTCTTATAGGTGGTGTATATTTATTGGGTAGTACGAATACTGGTAAAAGCAGTTTATTTAATATGTTACTTGATTCTGATTTATGTCACATACACGCATTAGACTGTGTACAACATGCAACGGTGTCAAATTTACCTGGTAAGTATGTGTAATGCTTGAAAATATTTAATTAGTATAGTTGTTGTATTTCTCTTTAGGTACAACAATGAATGTTTTACGTTTTCCGATTCAAATACGTACGGGTAAAAATCAATTTATGCGCTCACAACGTTTATTGGAAAATGAAGAATATTTAATTGAAAAACAAGAAATTAATCAAGAAACGAATAAAATGACTATTGAAAATGAAACAACCATTGTGGGTAAGTAAAATTCATAGAATAAAATTTTCAAAGATTGACTCTGTTACTCATAGTATTTCTTTTCTTTAGATGGTGTTGAACCAACGGTGAAATGGCGTCGTTCATTTGAGAGTGAAGTGAATTTACCTACTGGTGGTGCATCATATGATTATAATTCTGGTTTATCAGAGTTTTCTGAAACAAAATCTTATGAATCTCGTCAACACAATTATGCTAATTACCAGCGAAAAAAGATGAAAGCATTTGATCCAAAAAATTATGTAAATGAAAAATGGCTGTATGATACGCCGGGTGTCATTATTAATGATCAAGTATGACCGATTACAACTAATAGAAAGTGTATAGTGGCGTATGTAACTGTCTTTAGATTATAAACAAATGCAATCCATCAGAATTAGCTTATTTTACTCATCATAATATTCTAAGACCAATTAATATCATTTTGAAACCAAAATTTACTATCCTCATTGGAGGAATTGCAAGATTGGATGTACTTAGCGTAAGTATTACAAGAACTGTAATCTCAGAGAAAGTAAGACTACTATTCTAAACGAACTGAATATTGTTTAGATTACAAATTTATCAAAAGCATATGTGTCATTAATGACAAATGAACATTTCCCAATAAATAGTGTACAAACATGTGAAGTAGAACAATTTTATGCACATGCTTTAGAGCAAAATCTACTTGGGGTAAAAGCGAGACTTTTCGTTTTTTATTTGATATCAATGTCATTTGGTAAGTTTAGGTTCCTCAAAATGAAGTTAATGGCAAGTTACAAGATCCTCCAGTGTTAGATGGACCAATAGTTGAAATTTTAGGCGTTGGATTAAAACGAGCGGCAGCTGATATTGTGCTATCATCTGCAGGTACGTTTATCGTAGAATGTCAACAGCAACTTACTTTAGCTTCTTGCAGAAAAAGAGTCACTTTTTACTACTTATTTTGTCTTCTATTTTTTTAGGTTGGGCTAGTGTGACTGCACCTGAAGATGTTTATGTCACATTTCGTGTTTACACTCCAGATGGACTCGGTATTCATTTACGTCAGCCACCTCTATTGAATTATTTATTTGAACTGAAAGGTGAACGTGAATCTTCTCAAACGCCATTTTATTCGAAACTAATTTACAGTAACGATGAATCAATGTCAATTGATTCAGAATCCTACAAACATCAAAATGAAGGACAAATGATTATTAACGAGAAATTACTGCAACATCAGTTACAAATAAATAAAAAAAGATAGTGGAAATGATGAATAATATTTTAGCTTTTGTTTTGTTTGTATTTTTGCAAATAAATGATGATAAATTTGTTGTATTTTGTCAATAGGCATAGTTATAATATTGAAAAATGTCTTGTTATAGTATTTATACGCTAAATTAGCCATAACACTTCTATTGAGTGTCATGTCGCTCAATATTTTTGATTTAATTAGCTGGTGCTTCTCCTCATTCGATCTACATCATTCTTTAGTTAGCTCATATCAAATATTTCATGGCCAGAGATACGTTTAAGACTGACTACCAAGAATAGAACTTTTATTTGAAACAAAATCATTGATGAGTACTAAAACCTTAATAGGACGCCAGTTTAGGTATTGGAAACACAATACGTTCATTCTCTTAGAAAAAGAAATTTTTCGCCATTGTTTTCTGTAGTATTTAGCAACTCTATTTTTTTCATTAGTCAACACATTAAGCAGATAATTAAACTACATCATTGATCTACTTCAGATTATTACATCATGACTTCCAAACGTCATTTAAATGATAATGAAGACGACGATGATCAACCAGATACAAAAGTTCAAAAAATTGAAAAATCTCTAACACTGTCTGGTTCGTCAACAAAACGATTAATAATTATATTAGAACAAGCTAATTTAGAAACAATTAAAACTGGTAAAATATATGAATTATTAAATTGTGATCGTCATAAAAATTTTCTTCTCAAATATAAACGTGATCCATCACAAGCTCGTCCCGATATTACTCATCAATGTTTACTTATGCTATTAGATAGTCCATTGAATCGTGCAAATCTATTACAAATTTATATTCATACACATAAAAATATTTTAATTGAAATTAATCCACAAACACGTATTCCACGAACATTTGATCGTTTTTGTGGTTTAATGGTACAATTATTACATAAATTATCAATACGAGCACAAGATAATGTCAAAGGTAAGTACAAGAGATCATAAATAGGTACCAGAGTGCATATTCACTAGTAATCAATTTGTCGAGTCTATCGCTAAAGGTCGGGATAACTTTTTGTCGTAGTTAATTATTTTTGTTTTCTTCATTTTTTTTTGTATTCTAGGTGGTATTAAATTATTAAAAGTAATTAAAAATCCTGTTCAAGATCATTTACCTGTCGGTTGTAAGAAAATAGGGACCACATTTCATTGTGACAAGTTAATTGATGTTAGAAATTATGTACCAGAAAATGAACCGTGCGTATTTATTGTCGGAGCAATGGCGAAAGGTTCATTAAATCTAGATTATAATGATGAGGAAGTATCAATATCAAATTATCCTTTATCGGCAGCACTGACATGTTCAAAAATATGTAATGCATTCGAAGAAAAATGGGGAGTGATTTAGAGAAATACGTTTATTGTTTTTGTACGTGTTTTTGTGTTCATAAAGAATAAAAATAAAATAATAGAAAAAATAAAGGACTGAGTGCAGATTTAGAGCTATTCAACAAAATTCTGCAAAATTCAGTTTACAGTAGAGTATAATAACTAAAAGCAAGAATATACGCGAACGTACAAAAGCATATCTAACGTTCTTTGCCTTAAGTTTTATTGAGATTTGACAACATTCAAGCACCCACTATAGAAAGAGAAACTGGCGGAACAAGTATATACCTGAGTAAGACTAATAACAACACGTCAAATAATGGAGTAGTAAGACTATTCACCTCATAAATACAGACTCGAATATACAGTTTTTATTATCTTCTCTAATCTAATGATAATCTAAATATTTGACACTTTTGTATCTGATTCACACAATATGACTAATTGGTTCATTCAAATATTTAATTGAACCAACGCAATCCGATTGTGAAAGAGACTATTTTGTTGCTATAGCAATGATGCAGAAGTACTTTTGTTATTTGGTATATTATATTCAATTATACAAACTTAGTTGGAGACAAAATCTACATTTTTTATTTTTATAATACTACAAACGTCATAATCTTATGGTACGGGTACATCTGGATCTGATTCATGCCATTTGATATTCTAAAATAGTAAACAAGTTTACGTGCTGAATGAACCACCTTCAAATACTAATATTTCAAAAATTAGGCAAAATGAAATTGCTCCATATCATGTTTTCTCATCTTAAAATCAAATAATGACGTAGAAATTCTTACATCCAAATGGGAAATGTTTGTATAGTTCGAATCCTGATCATAAAAGGTTGACGATTTTTCGAGTGCAGAAGAGGCGTGTAAACGTCGAGAACTTTACTATAAATCCAATAGAAAATTTCTATAGTTTGATTACATTTAAAATAAGTCAACATACGGCAAAATTGATTTTAACAGGGCAATATAATAAGTTTAGCAATATCGGTTTGTATTACATTTTTATAGATAAAAACTGAATTCAAGTTTATAAAACTGCTTTTGTATTGAGTTTAAAACCACTCAGAATTCATATATTTGTATGCTCTTCTGTTTGTCACAATTATGTATCATTATCTAGTCGGAGCATGAATTTTATAAGATAAAATCATATTACTAGTGGTTAGTTACTCTGTACGATTGTTTTAAAATTTTTGTATGCAAAGTTTGTCTGTCCAACCGTAGAAGGCGATCGTAGAATTCACCAGATCATTTATAAATAGAGTAAGATCACATTTTTGACAATCCCTCAAAATTGTTGGACAATGTTTTTTTAAAAAGAACAAATAGACACTCGATAAAGAACATGAGTGATAAACATATACTTATCTGAAATAGACGAACAGACGTAGATGACTGAAATAGCCGTTGATGAATAATTATCATGCGTAGATATGTACAGGATAATGGCAATTACAACCATAGACCAATATAAAGATAATCTGGGCCTGCTGATTGAAACACATGTTAGTTTAAACAATTAAATATTGATCTTCTTTCACAACATAATATTAAATGTGAAGTTATGCGTATTTCAAGTTGGTAAATTGACCACAGTATCATATAATGGAGGTGATATGTCAACAGCAGTCGAAGTATTAGAATCTATTGCATTGAGTTCAGTAGATAACGAATAACGAGGAGGTGGATATTCGGAATGAGTTGGTTCACTCGCATATGGTGGACTAATACATCGATTCATCGAACTAATTGTTCGAATTTGATTTCTTAAATGTTTTTTTCGGGATAGTATGTAAGCGCTACAACATGCAATGATACAACAAAATATAATTCCAAATAAAATAATTGCTAAAGCAGTGGCTGATGGTGAATCCCTTAAATCCGACATTGTCATGTTTGATATGAAATATTTGAAAAATAATGATGAACGTTGTCAAGTGTTGTATTTTCTCTTGTCTCTCGTTGATCTAATGTGTTCCAATGTCGATACATTTTTTACACTAAACGTCATCAAATTATGAAAATGAGGAAAAATGTAAATGAACAAAAATATATTGTTGATAATGCGTTTTTTCTCTTCTTGCATCTTTACAAAAAAGATTGTTGTATGTTGAATCGTTAAGTAATATGTTTAAAAGTAAATACATCATTATTATTATTCAATATCGTCATTAGAAAACTGAAGAAAGTTTTGATTTAATGATATCATATTTGGATGTATTCATCAGCGGTGAGAGCATATGCGAAAGCAAAAGAGCAGACTTGTTATCTGTTATAAAGCGTTTGCTCATGAGTAATGAGGGTTAGTCTATATACAATTTGCTTAAAAATATTATTTATACATTCGAAGAGCAATCTTGGTTAATTTTACATTATCAATATTTGACACTGCATTACAGATTTCTTTTAAAATTTTGCAATATCTTTGAAGACAGAGACCAGTAGTCCGGTTTCTATTTAAGAATTAACAATTCGGTTTTGGTAAAAATATGATCTTGTTTGTTATAAAATAGAGTTAAATATCGCCTATTAGCGAATAAGCAAGAGTGTACGATTTTCAGTTGTCCGTTTCTAATTTAATTTGATAAAATTGATTTGTATTGTTTTTCTACAGATATTGACTTTAGAGCAAAGCTATTTGTTTTACTCTAGTCGTTTATCATATTTTTGATGGGTGTTCGATACACAAAAACATTTCAACACAAATTATTTCCGGTCATTTTGTTACTAGTAAAATAAAAACAGTCACCATTGTACAATATCGGAATAAATTGCTCATCAGATGTACTTCTTGTTCATTGATATGTATCAATAGGCAATGAGAATTCGTCGTTACGGGTTACTTACACAGATGATGACAAGAAAAATCGTTTTTCGTATATCTTGCTATAATTCTTGAACGAATGATAAACTTGTATGACGTTGATAATATTCAAGTTCATCGTAAGGAGTAATTCGTTGTATACTCAGATTTGACTAAAACCATTCAATCTGCTACCTCAAATTTGAACTTCAGTTCAATTCATTGTCTCTCGGATCAGATTTTTACCAATCATCCATTTAGGTAGAACTCACGTATAACATGGAAGAGATCCACATATCGCCAGTTATTGAAGGAGTCCTAATTCGAATACATCTTTATAAGGTAGTTTTTCAACAGAGCGCTCGCCAATAAGAAAAGTATAAACTAACGTATTTCGCCCGAACACGTGACTGAACGTGTTCTGTAGCGAACCATTCGGACTATCGATTTTGTGCATGCCTAGCTACGTGGTGGGCATCTGCAATTTTCTGTCTACTTTATTTGCACAGTGAAGAAAAGCATTTTTGCAGAAAAACAAAGTAAATCAATTTGCTACAGAGGCCACATTGGTAAGTATACTTTAGTTAGAGAGTAAATAAGATATAATAGAAAATAAAGCTACTTTAAACTTCCTAGAATAAAACAACATACACGTGATCTTGTTTGATTCCAGGTGTGTCGAAATATAGTTTAGTTTTGACAACAGAAGGAGAAAACCGTTTTTGTTTATACCACATTAAACAATTTAATGACAATAGAAAAATATTGTTCTTTTTTCTACGCAAAGTACAAAATATTAGGTCAGCTTGAGTACATTTATTCTACATGAATGAATCTGTTTACATTGGAACTTATTGTCTAACACCCGTAACTGGTTGTAAACTGACGTAAAATAGTGAAAGATCGATTGACTAATTTTAAAAATTCTTGTCTATATATTGTTGCTGATATTACATTAACAAAAAATCCAATAATAAAATTAAAATACGATAAAAAAATAAAAAATTTTAAACAAAATTGTATTATTTTTGTTGATACATAATTTGTTGTAAATGATGTATATATTAATATAATTGCTATTGGTAATGATAGTAGAAAATAACTTGATGTTTGATAGAACATTAACAATAATACTTGGCTATCACGTTTACGATGTAATAATTCATTATGCGCTTGTCTTATGAAAACTCTTCGACGATGTTGTCGAATATTTTTTAATGTCAATAAACCAAATATAACTAAAAGAAGTGGTATGATTATTGATGTTATAATTGTATAACAAATATTATGATAATGACTTATTTGACTATCAGTTATATAACAGGTACGTGCTCCCGTTGGAACCTGATATATTTTATAATAAATTGGTATATATAAATAGAAAAGAAAACAACAAAGAATTATTGTTGGTATTGTAAATTTTGTTACTTTTACTTGTGATAATTGATGATATTTTAGAATTGAGGATGATGATGCATAACGATCAATAGATGCACATATTAAAAATGCTGCTGGTAACAAACGTAAAGCGTATAATAGATATGCACTAAATTTACAAAAACTCCATGATAATATTGTTGAATCATAATTATAACCATTAACCATAAATCTTATCGGTAAAACAAGATACAAGAAAAGTAAATTTGATGTAGATTGTGCTAAAAAGTACATTGAACAAGAATAAACTTTAAGAATTTTCCTGGTAAATATGTATATATCTAATGCATTGCCGATTGTACCAAGAACAACAAGTAATGGTGACATGTAACGGTTTAATACATAAGTAATGTCGAGTATATCGATAGCCATTTGTCTGATCAGAATGTTAACAGGAATATATAAAATAATTTTCAATGAATGATGTTTTATATATCTATCTGCATCTATCTATGGACATTGTTTTACTAATTAAACTTCAGAAAAAATTGAACGAATATCAATTAATATCCTTTCTGTTAGGTTTTATAACTCTAGGATAATTATATTCTCTATAGAAAAATAGTTTTCTATTGTCCAGGCGCCATAGCTAAGAGGAGCAGGCCCCTCCGAGTTTTTTACATCACTTTGTTGCTCATGTCGACTTACATATATGGTGAACCGTTTGAACCTCTCAGACACTTGCTTCCCATTTTCTTTTAACTTTTAAAAGTTTACAGAAATTAAAGAGATTGTACTAAAAAGTTCACTGTTAGTTAAAGAAGCGTGTTCTAACGATAAGACTGGCTCCAATCAATCAACGAGATCGAAGTGCCTATATGCTGAAATTATTGTGAACTTTGAATGAAGTTTGGTTAACAAAAATTTTGTTTTTACGTGACATGTTGATTTTTCAGAAAACTAGTATTTTTTAAGAGTCTTGTCACAGACTGTGGCTTAACGAAGCACGACGGAGATCATTTTTTGCTGACGAAACTCTTCCACAGGTGCTAAATGAGATACTGAGTGTAATATTTTTTTCAGTGTGACGGAAGAATTTTGAGAAAAATCAAATTTAAGAATTTAAAATTATTAAAAAACTTAAAACTCAATTTTTATCTGATTTATCTGATTCTGCGTGGTTCTTTTGTTGAACGTACATATATACATACATAGTTTTAATAAATTTAATATTGCATCTTCTTCGTACTGCTATCTTGTATCATGTTCTTCTGCAAAAATGAAAATAATATTCACCCAGATGAGAATGGCCAAGTCTATGTTGAGGTCAAGAACATATTTGATGCGCACCAAAAACAATTTAATTTGAATTGGTGAGATGTTGCTGTGGCGATGTTACTACTAATTGTTGGCTCTGTGCTGGTCTATCTGTTTGTTCGGTATTCATTGAAGAAGAAATGGAAACAACTCTAGTTGATCCAATCGTTAGTACAACATTCCGTTCAACAGCAGCAACATGTGGTTGAACAACAGCAAGTATTTGTTCATTGTTTCAAATGATCATTCACGAATTCCAATGATGCAAACGGGCGAAGGAGGATTAATTTCATCTGTCCGTCACCCTCCATAATCATTGTTTAATTCTCATGTAAGTGTTTGCGCGACGGTACAGTAGTTTGCTTCGGAAAGCTGGAGAAATAGACTTAAACATACAACTCGTGTTGTATTACAGGTTTAACATGTTATGATTTGTTGTCCCCTTAGGACCGAAAGGTCATGGGATACAAATTTATGCAATACATAATAATAATAATATTACAGGCTTAACTCCACCGTATGCAGTTCACATATCAGTCTGCCGTCCCGATTTATTTGCTGTTACATATTGATATCTTCTATATCATCTCCTCGAGCGTCCATTACTTTTTTCTCTCTTCTTCTTTATTAATTATTTTTATTCATTTCTTAAACATAAATGCTTATTTTGTTGTTTTTTCTTTTGTCTTTAGGTGTGCTTCAAAGTGTGCACTGTATACAAAGCGTTTGTTCGGTCTGCATTAAATTATGGTTCAGTGTTATATTCCTTAACAGCTGAGTATAATCTTCACACGCTTGATGGTGTACAAAAACTCACAGCCAAGCTTGTAATGGGTGCTATAAGCAGAACACAATGAATCTTGTTTTAAATGATTTGTACTGGCTGCCAATTCGAAAACATGTCCTACAAATGCGTTTATTATTATTTTTTCGACGGGTTATTCTCAATATTCATTGACCATGTACAACTGAGTGTAAACAAAAGTACATATCAGCGAAGAGTTATCAAAAGAAGGCAATATATAGGATAAATACATTTTTGATCCCGGAAATTAAGCACAATTGATCCCGTGTACTAATTTTCGCGAAAAAATGCACAAATGATCCCGGTTTTCCTAATAATTTTTAATTAGTTATATAACAACACAACTGATCCCGGAAAAAGCTGTTTTTTTTCGCGAACATAATTGATCCCGGGAAATAAGCAAGTCATGGCACTGCACCGTCTTTCAACTGAGGCTCATTGACCAACTATGTGGTCTCACTTTAACCATAGGATTTAACTGCACAAAACATTGATATTATGGAAAAGACAAAAGGACATCAGAACAAAAGAAACAAAATAACCTAACAAAAAATATAATCGTGCCCATTGTTGAATACCACGAAATAATGTACGAAATGTATCAGCTGATTCGTCTGTTGATATTAAATAAATACCCATAGGATAAAATCTACGATTACAATCAGATGTCCCAAATACTAATAATGGTAATTCATTTGTTGTTATTTTGTAGGTGCAGTCAACAGCTAGTACGGACGAATATTTACATCCAGATAATAACTGACGTGTTGTTAAACACATAAATCATTCACATCATTAGCCACATAATAAGGTATAAATATGTCGTGTTGCTTATTTGGTTGTGGTACATTTTGACGTAATGAACACCATTGTTGTAAATCTTGAATGAATTTAATACTTGAACGATCTTTTTGACGGTGAACACGAGAAACATTCATAACTTTTGTATCAATAGACAAACCTGGATGTAACGCTTTCATAACTTTATTAATTTGAGATGTTACTAAGCCGTTGTCTGACGTTCTAATAATATTTTCACGAATTGGTGATGGTAATCGAGTTGTTTGATTTCGCTGTTGATGATCATGAGATGATGAATATAATTCATATGTATACATATGAATTATATTCATCATCATCTCATGATGGTATACCATCAGACGACTGTTTTGCTTTCAATTGAAATTTACATGATGGATATTTCCGATATTCTGAACAAATATTTAACATAATCCATAATCCAGTTGTTCCGTACGTTTTTTATATGTATTATTTTCTTTGGTGATTGTTAATAACTCATCTTCATCTTTACATAAAAAAAATTCTTGCCGTATTCGGGCAGACATGTTGATAACAGTATATTTTTCAGGATATTACCTTTCCAAACGTTTTTATACTTTTATCTTCTCAACTGTCAACGGTAATTTATCAGTTGACGTTTTGAACTGTCAACTGCATCTCGTCAGTTGACGTTCTGAACTGTCAACTATGTCGCATGACGTTAGAGAAAGTTAAATTAATTACAATACGTATACGATTATATTTTTTGTTAGGTTATTTTGTTTCTTTTGTTCTGATGTCCTTTTGTCTTTTCCATAATATCAATGTTTTGTGCAGTTAAATCCTATGGTTAAAGTGAGACCACATAGTTGGTCAATGAGCCTCAGTTGAAAGACGGTGCAGTGCCATGACTTGCTTATTTCCCGGGATCAATTATGTTCGCGAAAAAAAACAGCTTTTTCCGGGATCAGTTGTGTTGTTATATAACTAATTAAAAATTATTAGGAAAACCGGGATCATTTGTGCATTTTTTCGCGAAAATTAGTACACGGGATCAATTGTGCTTAATTTCCGGGATCAAAAATGTAAGTGTCCCAATATATACATATATATCGCTTTTTCAGTTTTTTTATTTGTTTTGTTGTTGCTTATATTCTGCTTTTCATCTACACGAAATAATGCATACTATTATGAGTGCCTCCTCACTTGGTTATGATCATTACCAGTTATTTATTCTCATTTTATTTAAAAAAGTTTAAACTAATAGTTCACTTGAAATGTTTTATCTTTAAAGTTGGTTGAGGTACATATTGTGGATAATTTGACGTGGAAAGGCCATGTTGACACAACAAGAATGCTGGACAAAATCTCAAGAGTATTTGAAACTGCACTATCTTTTCTTTGATTGTACTTGTGCAAGATATGTGTGGCACTAATTCTTGAATACGCATGTAGTATTTACGATAACTTCAGCAAAATGCATCTACCGCTTCTCGGCAGTGTACAGCGCTTAATCTCTAACATTGTAACGAAAGACTATAGTTTGGATGTATCACATATACAAAACAAAATACAACCTTGTTCTATTGAGAAAAAAGACTCTACTCTACAAAAGACTTCATTTTCATTTTCAAAACATATTGTACAATAGACATCTCGTTTCTAACATAAACTTAATCATACTAGCTACAACCAGACAATGTCCACGTTCAGGACATGGTAAAAGCGTTCAGATATATAAACTCTCTGCAAAAGCTTCATTCTCATCGTCCAATGTAAATATTTTTAAACTACTTCAAAAAAAGCACGTTAACGAATCATAAAAATACTCTTTATATTTTGTTCGTATTTTATGGTGTATTCTTTTTCCTCTGTTATGCAAATGTCAATAAGTCCTCAGGTCAAGAGAACAGTTGATAGTATAGGCAGATTTCTCTATTACTACTTTGTGCAGTACTGTCTGCCAAACTATATCATGTTATTCTGTTCGATGTGGAGAACAAAACAGGACATAAAATTTATTTTAAATGACTTTTGTGTTTCATCAATCACACTGTCTATACAAAAAATTTAAACTAAAACAACCTTTTAATTGTCATTCCTATTAATTATTATTCTGTAATACACTACACTGTAAAGTCGGGAATTATTTATAGAAAATCCTCTTTTTTTTTGAGTGTAAATATAATAAAATCAAGTTGAATGAAAAATGGATGAGCAGGATAGTTTTCATAGTTGTGCATATTAAAACCTTTCGAAAATATCTCGAACTTACTTTAATTTTTAAAGAAAATAAGTATGTCAATTCCGAAACCTAATTGTATTATCCCGTCACCTATTAGATAAGACTAATTAGAGTCTCACTTCAAAACTTATCGTGACACACTAAGCATAGAATTGCAAAAGAGTTTTGAATGAGAGAATTGCGCTTTGACTAAAAAATTGTGCATGATTTCTGTATGTTAATCACGTTTTCGCTTAAGCATGAATCATAGTTAAATTTCAATCACTTAATATTAGCTATTGGATTATTTTAACTCAGTAAAACGCATAAATGTCCAGCTTCGCCTTGTATCTTTTTCTAGCTGTTGAAGACAAATATTTCACTTGAACTGTTAAAAATGTTGATAAGCTGTAACTAATGATCTAATAGGATCTCTTTTCAAATACTGTCCATCAGTTTCGATGTCAAACCTTATAGCAATGCTGAGCCATGTACTTCACTACAAACTCTTAAAATTTTAAAGCTGTCAGTGATTAATAGACCGTTTTGTAGCTTAGAAAAGGTCTGTTTTCTCTTGCCGTTAAAGTTTGAGGCGATGATAATATTACTAGACTGAAGTTGAATTCAAGTTTTTGTAAATCTTGAATTAACGTTGGTACGTAAAAAGTGTTATTACAAGTTTTTCTAAACATATTATAATCATCTCACTCCGTGGACTCAGAGTTGGAACCGATTTAACCGATCAAACTGCTCCGATCTCTTTCTTTTATCAGTATCAGACGAGAAGAGCGCAAGAGAGAGCATCGTCCGATACTGATAAAAGAAAGAGAACCGGTTTGACCTGTTCCAACTCTGCGCCGTGGACTTTGATCGATATAAGCTGAAGATTTTGTCTTTTTCGTTGAGTATTGAATTCCTTTTGAAGTGACAGTCGGTAACTTTAGATGATAGTTCGAGATGCAGCGGTACTTCAGTGTCCATTGTATCATTAAGAAACATTTCTCCTTAGTGGAACTTCTATGTCTGATGTCCATGGCATTCATACACGACAAGACATTCCACCCAACATGGGGTCTCTCAAAACTTTGTCTTCATGTGTTAATGTACTATTGAAGTAGTTCTCTGAACAGAAACTGTTGAATAAGAACTCGTGCTTTCAGGAATATCGCGACCTTCAAATGTAAAAATCAAGAAAAAGTACAGTTCGACAAAAGGACGAGACAAAAACACTTTTTGACTGTGTCAAAGTATAAAGTAAACATTTTTCTACAGAATGAGAGGTAGCAGAGCGCTATAACATCTTTCATCTCCATTCTGTATTTGTTTTAATAATATCAATCAAGTCTGTACTCGGTTAGAAGTTTATAAATAAATGAATAGAGAAACATAAGAAAAAATTATATAGAGCTCGTTAACACCTTATTTTGTATAGAAATATATACTCTATGGTTTGAGCAATTCAAAAAGTTTTATCTAAATGAATTTCAGAGATTTATGATAAAGTTTAGAAAAGATATAGAATAGATCCTTAATATTCCTAACGATTAGCACTTACACAATGATCAAGTGAAATATATTAATAGCTATGTTCAATAAAATGAGTTTTCTATGCCAGCGTCTAGTATAATTGGTCAATACGACGATGAAATAACGCAAATCCTCATGCTTCTCATAACTATCAAAGCCGCTTTTAATATATTTTTTTGACGTTTGAATACTTAGATTAATGAACATGTGTTGCTATTTAGCATCTTTAATTAACGAGTACTTTGCGTGCCATTTTTCAAAAAAAAAAAAAGAAACAAAATAAAATAAATAGGCAGTCAAGAAATAGTGTCAATAACGACTATATTTATTTTTTTTAATGATACTCAAATCTAAGAATTTCAAAACTAATTTTTCTTTAAATCTATCCCTTCTTACTGAAAATCTGCTTCTCTTTTCATGCAATAATGATATGCAATAATTAATCGAATACAGAAGAAAAAAGCTGTTTTCTGTTTCATATTCCAGGATCATTTTCTAATATAAACAATATGAGTTGTTCCTGGAGATTTCTTTTTTTCATATGGAAGAAGTGAAAAAAAAAAGAGAAAAGGAAATTATTTTTCTAGTATTTTATTTTGTACAAATGTTGTGTAAACTATAGATCAAGAAAGACGTTAGAAAAGAAAATTACGAATTATTTTCGAGACAGATCGTATGATAAATAATGCAGGTGTAATTCAATTAACCATGTTATTAATGAATTTATTAATTTTATTAATAATTATTTTTGGTCTAAAATTTGTTGAAAGTAATGAGATAAATAATAGATCATTTGAAACATTTCAAGTTGAATTTGATAAATTATATCATCGATATCATTTGGATAAACAAATTGAAAAATTAAAATCTATAAAGGAAGAACAACAACTGCAGAATTGTCAACACGATGGTAAGATATTTTATTTGATTCTAGATATGAAAGAATATTGTATACTATGTTATTTATTCAAAATGTTTCAACAAAAACTTATCATTTAACAGATATCCAACAAGTTTCTATTTAATTATTTTCTGTATAGTTATTTGCTCATAAAATAGATAGTCATACAAACAGAATGCGTACACTCACAAATGAGTGTATATAAAACTGACGCATATAATCAAGTTAGAATGACAAAGTTCGAAATGTAGTTTTTTAGTTTTCTGTCATGTCAAGGTGCTCCTTTCACTCAGAAATCTACTTCTGAGAGAAACTATCCAATGTGAATAAAATTTTCAACAAATGTTAATCCTAAGAAGATTAAGTTCACAGTGTAAATTTCAGCTCGGAATCTTGAGTTTTCCCAAAGTGAAAACCGACATACGGGACTCAACAAGGAAATCTCGACATTTGCAATCATTTTTCTTTATTTTAAGCTTCATCAAGCTCGACTTGGATTAAATTAGAGAGAAAAATCGACGTTATGACGTATCAGAGCCTGATTTTTTGAAATTTCATTCGCTTAATGTTTGCTTTGAAAATTACCTCAAAAAAATCTCGTTTCACAGAAAAACTTTTTTTGTTTCAAATACTAAAATGATAGATGATCAAAGACAAAGTCAAATATCCTTTTTAGGTTACAAACCATCGCGAGCTGAGGCTTAAAATAGAGGAAAAATCTTGTAGATGGCGATCGCTCTATGCCAAAAGAATAATTCTGTGAAGAATACAATATATTTTGTTTTTTGACGCTATATTTTCAGACAACTTACTTCTGAAAATTATATCAACTATGCTGAATCCAATGCATATGTACGTGCGTATAGATATTTGCCAGAAACCCTTGTTTTTCATAAAATTATCGCATTTTTCACTACTCAATTTAAGATTTCCAAAATATTTGCTGAAAATTTCTGAAAACGTGTTTTTACAACAACAACAAAAAATTAGTGTAATCAGAAGAATAAACTTTGAACTAACACACATCATATCTAAATCTCAAAATCGACTCTTTTGAGGGTGACACTTAACTCATAGAAGATGAATTATTACTCTAGTTTCAATGATGCTAAACAGTTTCTGTTATTTCAGTTGTTATTGTCTGTTATTGTGTAACTATTCTCTTTTAGAGAATAAAAAAGAAAAAAGGATTAATCGCGTAACAAAGAAAAATAATCGAGTTTTAACAAGAATTCAATTAAGATTTACATCAATTATTATCTTTTTACAATCGAATGAAAGATATCTAACAAAAATTGAAGATTTATTCACCTTTAGTATCCAAATACACTATTGATCTAATGAATAAACGCATTTGTCTAACGATCATCATTTCAACTAATTCTTCATAGGAGACTAGTTACCATGCCTGATGTTGAGCAACATAAAAATGTCATTTTGTTGTATTAATATACGCTAATGTCACCAGATGTGTGTATGTGTGCGTGTATATCGATTGTATCATTAGTGAAATTATCCATAGTAGCACTCAAACATTTTTTTAGATTCTAAGATATTTGATGATGATGTCAAGAGAACTTTTTTTTTTTCTTCTCCTCTTTCCATAAAAGGGTCTGAATATACACATATCGAATGAAACATGTATAAATAGATAAAGAATAATAGATGACATTAATAAATAAATTAAGTGAAAACAAAAAATATAAAAATAGTCAAGACTAATTGACCCGAAGTATAGATAAATGATTAATATTTTTATATTCAATTTGTTTTAGATTTTATATATAAATTCTGTTGTTGTTTTCTTTTTAATTTTTAGCATACATTTATGAAAATGATATTCTTATGTCGAGTGATACACTAGTGCGACTCTATGGTAAAGACGAAACTCGAAAACTATTAAAATGTGATCAACAATCAAATAAAAATGCGTCTATCCATTATTTAAACAACTGGAAACGAAAGAGAAAGAAATTGTAAATAATCATTGCTCTTATTTTAATTATGTAAAATATATTTATTTTATTTTAGAAATTTGACTATGACTTCAAATGACATGTATTCTGTACCAATCATTCAGAAACGTTCAAAACGTGCTGTTACAGCTATTGAAGATCATATATGGCCTGATGGTATCATACCATATGAGATTGTATATAATTTTAGTGGTAAAAACTTGAATACGAATCGGAAAAGTATATCTCTTTTGAAATTTCGTCTATTTAGGATATCATATGGCTCAGCTACTAGAGGCAATGTCTATGTGGGAAAATGAAACATGTATCGTATTTGTTCAACGATTACCACATCATAACTCTTGGCTGAGTATCACCTGTGGAGAATGTGGGTAAGTAGATAACGTCATTTATTTTGAACTGGATTTGAAATAATCTTCTATTTCATTATTAGATGTTGTTCACAAGTGGGTAAACAAGGTACTGGAGCTCACATTTTGTCATTGGGACTGAAATGTGATAAACACGGTATTATTGCCCATGAATTGGGTCACGCAATTGGCTTCTGGCATGAGCATACAAGACCAGACAGAGATCAATATGTTGAAATATTAAGACAAAATATAAAGCATGGTAAGATAATCAATGTATTTATTGTGACTTTCGAAAAAGAATGACTGCAGATTTTTTTTG